TTGCAGCAATATGGCTGGAGGGCATAATGCTAAGTGAAGTAAGTCAGACTGAGAAAGATAAATACTGTATATCACTTATCTGTGGAATCTATAAAATAGAACAAACTGGTGAATCTGCCTGCAATGCAGGAGACCCAGGTTTGATTCCTGGGTTGGGAAGATCCCCTGGAGAAGGAAATGGCAATCCACTCCAGTATTCTTGCCTGGAAAATACTATAGACAGAGGAGCCAGGTGGGCTACAGTCCATGGGGTCGCAAGAGTTGGACACGACTCAGAGACTAAACCACCACCACAGTGGATAAAATAAAAAAGAAGCAGGCTCACAGTTATTGAGAACAAACTAGTGGTTATCAGTGGAGAGAGGGAAAGGGGAGGGGGCAGCAGAGGGGTAGGTGATTAAGAGGTATAAACTATATGTATAAAAATAAGCTTCATGGATAATTGTATAGAACAGGGAATATAACCAATATTTTATAATACTATAAATGGAGTAAAACTTTAAAATTATGAATCACTATATGCACACATAAAGTATTATCCATCAACTACACTTCAGTTTTAAAAAACCTTTAAAAAAATGATTTTTGAAATCTGCTGGTATGCAGAATATGTACCTTTTCCTAACTTGGAGAAAATCCAGACAGGAGCATGGAGAATGACCAAAGAGATTGAAAATAGAATCTAGAGGGACAGTTTAAAAGAAGGAAGTCAGCTTTGCTTGGAGAGAGAAAAGAAGGCTGAAAGTAACAATGATACTGGTTTTGAAGGACACAAAGAGCTGCAGCTCATAGTCATCATTCATTCAGTCACTCATTCACTCATTCACTCACAGTCCCAGCACCTGGGAGACAAAGAGAAGGACAAAAATCAAAGTAGGTGAAACAGAGTCCTTAGCTTCAACATCTACTGTCCATTGCCAGTGCCCAAGAATTGACAAAAATAAGTGTAGGCTGGGACACAAGTAGGAAATAAGCCTGAAGGGAAGAGATTTAAGAAATTTAAAAACTTTCCAGGAGATGGCAAGAGTGAACACGAACATCTTAGAAATCAGTGAACTAAAATGGACAGGAATGGGCAAATTTAATTCAGATGATCATTATATCTACTACTGTGGGCAAGAATCCCTTAGAAGAAATGGAGTAGCCCTCACAGTCAACAAGAGTCCAAAATGCAGTACTTGGGTACAATCTCAAAACTGACAGAATGATCTCAGTTTGTTTCCAATGCAGACCATTCAACATCACTGTAATCCAAGTCTGTGTTCCAATTACTAATGCCAAAGAAATTGAAGTTAAACGGTTTTATGAAGACCTCCAAGGCCTTCTAGAACTAATATAAGAAGAGAGAGGACAAAAAAAAGATGTCCTTTTCAACATAGCGGATTGGAATGCAAAAGTAGGAAGTCAAGAGATACCTGCAGTTACAGGCAAGGTTGGCCTTGGAGTACAAAATGAAGCAGGACAAAGGCTAACAGTTTTGCCAAGAGAATGCAGTGGTCATAGCAAATGCCCTCTTTCAATAACACAAGAGACAACTCCACTCAGGTATAGTACCAAATGGCCAATACCAAAATCAGATTGATTATATTATTTGCAGCCAAAGATGAAGAAGCTCTACCTAGTCAGCAAAAATAAGACTGGAAGGTGACTGTGTCTCAGATCATGAACTCCTTATTGTCAAATTTAGACTTAAATTGAAGGAAGTAGGGAAAACCACTAGATCATTCAGGTATGACCTAAATCAAATCCCTTATGATTCTACAGTGGAAGTGACAAATAGATTCAAGGGACTAGATCTGATAGAGTGCCTGCAGAACTTTGAATAGAGGTTTGTAACATTGTAAAGGTGGTGGTGACCAAAACCATCCCCCCAAAAAGAAATGCAAGAAGCCAAAGTGGTCGTCTAAGGAGGATTTACAAATAGCTGAGAAAAGAAGAGAAGCAAAAAGCAAGGAAGAAAGGGAAAGATAAACCCATCTGAATGCAGAGTTTCAAAGAATAGCAAGGAGAGATAAGAAGACCTTCTTAAGTGAACAATGCAAATAAATAGAGGAAAACAATTGAATGAGGAAATGGGAAAGACTAGAAATCTCTTCAAGAAAATTACAGATATTAAGGGAACATTTCATGCAAGGATGGGCATGATAAAGAAAAGAAATGGTAAGGACCTAAGAAGCAGAAGAGATTAAGAAGAGATGGCAAGAATACACAGAAGAACTGTACAAAAAATGTCCTAATGACCCTGATAACCACCATAGAGTGGTCACTCACCTAGAGCTGGACATCCTGGAGTGTGAAGTCAAATCAAATGGGATTTAAGAAGCATCACTACTAACAAAGCTACCAGAGGTGATGGAGTTTCAGCTGAGTTATTTCAAATCCTAAAAGATGATGCTGTGAAAGTGCTGCCCTCAACATGCCAGCAAATTTGGAAAACTTAGCAGTGGCCACAGAGCTGGAAAAGTTCAGTTTTCAATTCCAATCCCAAAGAAAGGCAATGCCAAAGAATGTTCAAATTACCACACAATTGTGCTCATTTCACAAGCTAGCAAGGTAATGCTCAAAATCCTTCAGCTAGGCTTCAGCAGTACATGAACCAAGAACTTCCAGATGTACAAGCTGGAATTTAGAAAAGGCAAATGAACCAGAGATCAAATTGCCAACATCCATTGGATCATAGAAAAAGCAAGGGAATTCCAAAATAACTTCTGCTTCATTGACTATACTAAAGCCTTTGACTGTGTGGATCACAACAAACTGTAGACAATTCTTAAAGAAATGGGAATACCAGACCACTATACCTGAGAAACCTATATGCAGGACAAGAAGCAACAGTAAGAACCAGACATGGAACAATGGACTGGTTCCAAATTGGGAAAGGATTACATCAAGGCTGTATACTGTTACCCTGCATATTTAACTTATAAGCAGAGTACATCATGAGAAATGCTGGGCTGGATGAATCACAAGTTGAAATCATGATTGCCAGGAGAAATATCAACAACCTCAGATATGGAGATGATACTACTCTAACGGCAGAAATTAAAGAGGAACTAAAGAGCCTCTTGAAGAGGGTGAAAGGGGAGAGTGAAAAGGCTGGCTTAAAACTCAACATTCAAAAAGCTAAGATCATGGCATCCAGTCCCATTACTTCATGGCAAATAGAAGGGGAAATAAGTGGAAACAGTGAAAGATTTTATTTTCTTGGGCTCCAAAATCACTGCAGATGGTGACTACAGCCATGAAATTAAAAGACTCTTGCTTCTTGGAAGGAAAGTTATGACAAACCTAGACAGCATATTAAAAGGTAGACACATCACTTTGTTGACAAAGGTCCATCTAGTCAAAGCTATGGTTTGTAGTCATGTAGGGATGTGAGAGTTGGCCCATAAAGATGGCTGAGCACCAAAGAATTGATGCTTTTGAACTGTAGTGTGCTGGAGAAGATTCTTGAGAGTCTCTTGGACTGCAAGGAGATCAAACCAGTCAGTCTTAAAGGAAATCAACCCTGAATACACATTGGAGGGACTGATGCTGAAGCTGAAACTCCAATACTTTGGCCACCTGATGGGAAGAGCCCACTCATTGGAAAAGACCCTGATCCTGGGAAAGATCGAAGGCAAAAGGAGAAAGGGACCACAGATGATGAGGTGATTAGATAGCATCACCGACTCGGTGGACATGAATTTGAGCTAATTCTGGGAGACAGTGAAAGACAGGGAAGCCTGGCATGCTGCAGTCCATGAGGTCGCAGAGTCAGACACAACTTAGACAGTGAACAACAACAGGGCCAAGGTAGCAATGGAAATAAATTCATCCCTACTTGCCCTTTATTTATGAGAGCTACTGCTGGTTAAATGGTAATTTTCAGGGTTGATTAGGAGAATTTCCACCAGAAAAAAGAAAAAAAAAGATGATCACTTCAGTCTTACAGTTTGGAATATTCTATTACAGACCTTGTACGGTCAGTATAAGGTAAGGCAAATATTTTGTGGTTTCCGTCTCTGCTCAACACTGTATGATTCATATCAGGGTCTGTTCGGGCCACAGAAATAGCAGAAGAGGAAAAGGCAATCGTATCTCTCCCCAGAGTGGTTAACAAAAAGCCCGTTAACCAAGTTTACCATGAACATGAGTGTGTACAAATTCTCAGCAACTGACTGTGTTATTAACACTTGAATTCCTTTTGTGCTTGGTTCTTGGAATTGTCCAACTTTTGATTAACTGAGAATTATCATCATTTAGGACACATAAAATTGTGATTCTATTAAGACAAATACAAAGGGAAATATTTTACTTACTTTAAATAGTACAGACAAATGAGTTAGATAATTAAAAAATCAAGATAGTATGCTTTGTTTTTAATTTGAATGTTCTGGTTTCATTCTAACCACCTAAAAAGGAAATTTCAAACTTTTTCAGGCATACTTAAGCCCCATTTAAAAATTTACACGAAACCAAGACTTGGGAGAACAATTTTTAGTCAGTATTTTCATTGTTCCATGACCTTTGGGAAATTTAAGTGTAAATTTCATCTTTAAAAATGCTCAAAAACTGTTCAAAATGACCATTTTGTGTCTCCCAGATATGCAAACTGCCCATACCTAAACTTCTGATGAATCAAAAAGTTGTTCTTTCCTCTGTTCTTTCTTTGTTTATTGTATACATCATTAGACCATTAAAAAAAATGTGTACTTTTAGTCAATCCATTAAATAATATATCCTGAGAAAAATACCTATTTTGTACAAAGCACCTTGTTTTCTCCTAAAGATAATACTGAAATATATATATATACACACACACACATACACACATATATATGTAATTTATTTATGTAGCATATGGCACAGTAATTGAAAAATATGTTTCTAAACATACCCAATTGTATATAGTATGCACATAATCCAATAGAAGTGACAACAATTTACTTGAAATCCATTTTGTCCCACCTCCCTTCTGAAACAATATCTCTCAGGTCAACTATATGTGCATAGCTTACCTGTCTCACTTCCAATCAAAGGCTGATTTGCAAAATGCTTGACAAAATCCTTCAAAGATGAGAATTCATTAAAGCCAAATTTAAATGAATATCCAGTATATTCAACATGAAAGTGTTTGACAGAGTCTTTGGCTCTAAAAGAAAAAAAGGGGGAAAAAATGCAATGCTATTAAAGAAACAAGTATCTTTTTTGAAGGGAAATATAACCTTAGGCATTAGTATCACCATGAAGCCTTTCTCAAAACAGTTATGACACAATCACCAAAACCACTGGCATTTAAAGAATAGCATTCCTCTAATAATTAGTAATGTTGAGCATCTTTTCATGTGCTTATCTGTATGTCTTTTTTGGGGAAACATTTATTAAGGTCTTCTGCTCATTTTTCAACTGGATTGTTTGTATTTTGCTTGAGGCATAAGTGTAAGAGAGACAGGAAGAGAGGTGATAGAAACTGCAGTCACCCTCTCCCCATATTCTCCTCTGTGCCTGGACCTCCTCCCTTACTTGGGAGTCAGTACAAATTCTGCCTCTTTTCACCTAATCAGTTATGTGAGCCCAGTCCTTTGCCTCCCAACCCTGCTCCACTCCCTGCTGAACAAAATACCAACTTTCCTACACTGCTGTCTTTGGAATAAGGCAGAAAATTAAATTTTATCTATATCTGTAACCATATACACACACATACACACATGGCCTCACTTCCACTATTCTTCTCTTTCAGGTAACTTTCCACCTTTAGCAAAAATCAGAAGTCAGAATCACCTGGAGGGTGCAGACTTCTGGGCCTTACCCCCTGAATTCCTGATTTAGTAGGTCCGGGGTTGAGCCCAAGACCTGTATTCCTAACATGCTCTGAAGTGATGCTACTGGTCTGGGGACCACGTCTTGGCAACTGCCACAGGCCAACCAGCTGTACTATTCTCCTAGGAGCTTCTGCCTCTGTCCCTTAGCCTGTACTGTTCCCTTCACCTGTGACTTCTTCCACTTTGTTTTTGATTGTGTCAGTTCAAATGCCACTTACTATCAAATATTGCACGATATTCCAGCTTGAGTGACTTGTTTTTTCTCTTCTCAACAATCCACACACTTACCTTGCTGTCTTTCATGTCATTTACAGCACTCTCCTTTGTAGTAAGGTATTTATATATGGCCTTATTGCCCCTGTGTGGTTAGACTTCCAGAAGACAAGGTCTTTGAATCTCCTACAACACTTACCAAAGTGGGAGGCACAGAGTGGATGCTCTGAAATATTATTAAGGAAGTGAATGAACAAATGAATGAAAACAACCATTCTCCTGAGCTGGTCTGTGGTTCTTCTCAATTTTGTGGTGGTTATTACTTTTTAAAACATTTCCAAGTGCTTGTAATGGAAATTAACAATTTATATTTTAAATTTGTATGTAGATGTAATGTATGTATTATCTCTTTGTAAGGTTTATGACACATGTAAAAGTGAAAAGTTAACTTTCTTTGAGCCAACAATTCCACAGGTTTGTCTGAGATTTTGGAGTGATCCATGCAATCAAGGATCAACAATCCAACCTTTAATATAATTTTAACATTTGCTGTTGATTCAAGAAAGCAAAACTCCTGCTTCAGCCCAGAATTGAATTCCTACATCAAGCAGAATTCCACTTTTGATTAATAATTTCCCCAAAGATGTTGTTTAGAAAATTTATAAGCGAAATAAAACAGTAATGGTTTGAGGTTAATGAGGCAGTTTCATGGAGTCCTCATATCCTAGCAACTGCCTATGAACCCAGTGAGACTTGCTGTAGGTCAGTGGAAGCCAAGGTGACAGATGCTAACAGATAACCAATGACTGCCCCTGATTATCAGGTGGCTAGGTCACCTTCTCTGAAAGGGAAGTCAGCCAGGGGAAAGTGTGGGAGAGAAACCCTGAAAGGGCTGGCCAATCACTCTTTTGGGCCAGGCATATCTGGTGGGGACTAGATTAACTTTCTTAACAGTTGGGGGAAATGGAACTTTGAGAAATTCTGTTGATAGAAAAAAATTAAAAGTTGCATGTTGCCTGCTTGAGTTTGTGGTTATGAAAGTTGCATAGCCATAAGTCATTTTGATTTTCCAGAGGAAGCAAAGAACAGTGAAAAGGGTACTGGGCCAGGCTCCAGGGATGAGGATTCTGGTGCTGTTTCTAGCACTGTTTTATTGGGTGGAAGACACTTTACCACTTCAGGCTTCAGTTTCTTCATCAGTCAAGCAAGAGTTTTGGATTAAATAATTCATAAAATCTCCTTCAGCTTTAACATTTTTTTTTTTTTTTGGTCCCAGCTCTAATAATTTTTCCTCTGTTAATGGAAGGAGCAGGCATGTTTTCTGCAGTCTCTCCACTCAGAGCTTGGCATCCTTCGACCTGCTGGTCTAACAAGAATCAAGAGAATTCTATTTTCTGGCAATCTGCATGTGATGCTGAAGTCAGTGCCCATATAAGTAAGAGTTGGGACCCCACCAGATTCACAGAGTTCTTATGAATCCTACCTCACAGAGAGAGAGTAGAGCCCAATCCTCTCATTGCTGTCCCGCAGAAGGTAGCTCCCATCACATCCGTTGGAGAGGAGCAGCGCCTCAGCTGCGTGGCGGGTGAGGTTGCCGTGGTACCACCTGGGGCGGAGGGAACAGCACTTTCACTCAGAGTGAACTATGGGGGGACTCTTCCTGCACTGGGTTTTCCTCTCAGAGGTTACCTCAGCAATATTCTCCACCCTGGTAGCCCTGAGACCAAACCCTGAGCCAAGACGTCAATAAAACGAAATCGCTGGGTGAGGCTGAAGGGGAAAGGAGGGATTTGCCTTATCCCAGAGTGCTATGGGTTGAATTGTATCCTGAACACTCTTATGTTGAAGTGCTTAGCCCTAGTACCTCAGAATGCTTCCTTATTTGGAGACAGGGTCTTTAGCAAGTCATAGTGAGGTTCTTAAGGTGGGTCCTAGGGGTCTCCCTTGGTGGCTCAGATGGTAAAGAATCTGCCTGCAGTTCAGGAGACCTGGGTTCGATCCCTGGGTTGGGAAGATCACCCTGGAGAAGTGAATGGCAACCCACTCCAGTATTCTTGCCTGGAGAATCCCTTGGACAGAGGAGCCTGGTGGGCTATAGTCCATGGGGTCATAAAGAGTCACACATGACTGAGTGGCTAACACTTCCGTTTTCAAGGTGGGTCTTAATTCAATAGGACCGGTGTCCTCTCATAAAAAGGGGACTTTTGGAGATAGCCTTGCGCTCAGGGAGCGTGCCTTGTGGACACCCTCCCTAAAAATGGCCATCTGTAAGTCAAGAAGGGTGAGCTGGAGCAGATCCCCCTTCACAGCCCTCAGAAGGAACCAACCCTGCTTGGGGTTGACACCTTGATTTGGGGCTTCTCATCTCCAGAACATGAGACAATCAGTTTCGTCTGTTTAAGCTGCCATTTTGTGGTACTTACTCATGCAAGTCCTAGCAAAGAAACACACATTACTTTGTAGACAGAAATATTTAAAAAATTTCCAGTCAAAAATAACCATAAGAATAGGCTTGGGCCAATTTTCTCCTTTCTTTATCACACTCTCTTTTAAAAGTGTGGCGCCATGTTTTGTAATGTGTAAAACCACTGAGTTGTTATATCAGAGTCCATTGTCATGAGGGACATGAAGTTGAAAACAAGGAATTCAGACGTTTTATACAGAGTCGCAAGCCCCATTCAATATTGTGTAAAACTCACAAATACCTGCAGAGTTGGGGAAGTCCCAAGGATATTCAGACTAATGTATGTGTTTAAAAAAATAAATAAACAAACTCCAAAAACACATTAGAAAAGGTAACATATATCTATGGTAGAAAAAAAATCTATATAGTTCAAAAGAAGGCATGATTAAAATGAAGCTTTTTTCTCCCCCTTTAATCCACATCACCCTGTTCCTTTCCTCAGAGGGCCCCAATGTTACCCATTTTCTGTGCTTCCTCCTGAGAGGAATCCTTTGTGTCCAGAGGCATCCAGGCATGTGCACAGTCCCAGCTCTATGGAGACATGAGCATCCCAGGCACCCTGTTCTGCACCTCATTCCTTTTTCCTTTCCCGTTCTTTTTAATGAGTCAATAGAGACAGTTCAGTGTGGTGATTAGGACTGTGGTCTCTGGCATCAGTTTGCCAGAGTCCTAATCCACGTGAAACCCCTTACAGCTCTAACACCTTGGGCAAGTTGTATAACCAACATAAGCCTCAGTTTTCTCACCTCTAAAATAGAATTAATAACAGCGGTGCCTCATAGGCCAGCAGTCAGTTCTGCTTGCTGTAACACACACAAAATAGTCAAAGCAGTCTTGGCAAACAGCTGAGCTCAAAACACATTAGTTGTCATGAAGCCATTGAGATCCCCAAAGCCATAACTTGTGATGTTGCCTCTGAGGTGTGATTTTCTTGTTGCTCAAATATACTTGTTGATTACTGTCAGCTTCTTTCAGATATGGGAAGCTAGGTCGTGGTGGGTAGCAGCTGCTATTAAGAGCTACAGTGCAGGGCAGCGAAGGGGAAGGAAACAGGAGCAGCTACACAAATATTGTCGATCATGTCAGTGAACTCAGTACTATCACAGAGGTGTGCAAGGTGTATAAGGAAGTGTCCTGCTCTGAGAGTGATGGATCCGCTGGGATGTCCTGTGCAATGATATTTTAGCCTGATAATAAAAATTAAACATAAGACCAAAGGCAGAGGGAGTTTCTACATAGGTCTCTGAGCTATCTGTTTTCTAAACCAGCATGTCCTAATGTCTGCTTCTTTAGCACGTTTCCTCTTTGGGGCAGAGATGCCTCCGTCCTGAGTTAGAAATGCACTTGCTAACTAAAAACAATAGCAAGGAAAAACATCTTTATAAGAAATCCCATTGAGTTATTTACCCCTTCATTGAACTAATTCCCAAATGTGCTCAAATCTTCTCAGCACCAAATTCTTTAAATATTGGAATCTACGACAGAGGATGAGATGGCTGGATGGCATCACCGACTCGATGGACATGAGTTTGAGCAAACTCCAGGAGTTGGTGATGGACAGGGAGGCCTGGCGTGCTGCAGTTCATGGGGTCACAAAGAGTCGGACACGACTGAGTGACTGAACTGAACTGAACTGAACACTAATATCCTGTATGTCAATGATATTTGAATTAAAAAAAAAAACAAAGGGAAATTGGAGGAGCTAAAAGAGAGGCTATCAAAAACTTCAGGTTTGGTTACAGGCAGAATACTAATTTTTTTGATAAATGAAATCTTTATGAGGTCACAAGTTCTTAAATGTATGTTGCCAATAATTATATTTTGAATGGACATTTCCGTTTAAGTCAATAGATTACTTATCTGAAGCAACAAAATTCTAAAATGTAAAGAATTTGGACACTGAAATTCTTTTCAACAAGATCTAATGATGTCTCTTTAAAGCATTTATAGAATTCTGATAATTACAGCTTGACAGCACTTTTTATTGAGAATTTTTTTTTTTTAATTTCTTGGTTGTGCTGCAAAGCATGTGGGATCTCAGTTCCCTGACCAAGAGTCCAACCTGCATCCCCTGCATTGACAACATAGACTCAACCACTTGACCACCAGGGAAGTCCCAGCTTAGAGCTTTTTATGGTAATCTTTTAAACAGTAACTATATATCATAAGCACATAAGAAATCCTTGAATATAAAGCATTACACTGTGCTCTAATTTGGAACATCTCAGAGGTTGTTAATTTCTTGGTAGGGTAGTTAATTTCCTGTAGCAGCTTGGTAGAGTCAGCACGACCATCACAGGTTTCATGGAGTTCTGGACCCGGGCAAATTTAAGACAGAGCCTGCCAGGCAACCACCTATACTTCACCATGTCTGCATGGCAACGAGGCTCTTCATTCCCCAAACAACTCTTCCACAAATGCCTAAACTTCCTCTCCTCATTGAGCTAAGCATCATTTCCCAGAAACTTTAGATCAGGTTATCTTTCAGGGAAGTGACTATAAAGCCAAACAGCATTACATATCCTTTGTAGGAATATGTCCATCTTTGGTAAGGATGGTTCAAGATTGTGTTCATAAAGAGTGAAAGGTTGGGGACTTTCCTGGTGTCCAGTGGTTAAGAATCCACCTGCCAACACAGGGGATGTGGGTTTGGTCCTTGGTCCAGGGAGATTCCACATGCTGTAGGGCAACTAAGGCTGTGCGCTGTAGCTACTAAAGCCCCTACACCCTGGAGCCTGATCCCCACAGCAAGAGAGACCACTGCAAAGAGAAGCCCGTGCACTGCAATTAGAGAGCAGCTCCTGCTTGTCGCAGCTAGAGAAAACCCAGGTACAGCAATGAAGACCCAGCACGGCCAAAAACAAACCAACAAGTAAATAAATAACAATTTTTTTAAAAAAAAGATCAAAAGATTGAAAATATAGTCTTGGTCAGTCGGTAGTTTTCCCATAGTTAACCTTTTCTACTTTCTATCATTCGACTTTATAAATCTTTATCTATTGAGTACAAATCTGTGCAAGGCATTGTACTAGGCAGGTCAGAGGGAATAAAAACCCAGGCTGGGCTTCAAGAAACCATTAGTCAAGAGGATAAGAGAAGTATTTCGTGAACTACACCCAAGAGAGAGTAAAGATCAAGGCCATTTTTTGAAAGGCCCAACATCTAAGCAGGCCTTAAAGAACACACAAGTTATTTTAAAACTGTGCTTTTTTTCTGGTAACAAAGCATATGTAGTAAGAATTAAAATATGTACATATACAGAGGAGGAAATGAAAGTCATTCACGGAAGAGAAAATATGTATTTCAAATAAATAGTCTCACAATCAGAGAAATGCAAACTAAAACAATAATGTAGTATTTTTTAACCACCAGACTGGTTAGTATGAAGTAATGGAGAATTTAAGGGCAATGGATATTATCATCTACTGTTGGCAGGTGTTTAAGTTGGAGGGAAACTTACATATCTAGTGTAACTGGACATGCCCACATGACCAGTGACTCCATTTCTGATGTCTAATTAGTGAAACATTCACAAGTACGCAGAAGGAAGTGTGAATGAAGATGTTTACTGTAGAGCATTTATGAGAATAAAAATTAGGAGCCATCCTAATTTTCCACCAACAGTGAGATGATAAAGTTAAGTGCTCAGAGGATGAGATTTTGTTAAAAGTTAATCAGATAAGGAATGAAACTGGGTCATTTGCAGTGATGTGGATGAATCTAGAGTCTGTCACATGGAATGAAGTAAGTCAGAAAGAGAAAAGCAGAAATCTAATGTTAACACATATGTATGAAATCTAGAAAAATGGTACTGATGAACCTATTTATAGGGCAGGAATAGAGATGCAGACATAGAGAAGGAACTGGTGGCACAGTGGGGAAGGGAAGGGTGGGATAAACTGAAAGAGTAGCCCTGACATATACACCATCATGTATACAACAGACAGCTGGTGGGAAGCAGCTCTATAGCACAGGGATCTCAGCCTGGTGCCCTGTGATGACCTAGAGGGGTGGGATTGGGGTGGAAGGCTCGAGAGAGAGGGGATATACGCATCCTTATAACTGTTTCTCACTGTTGTACAGAGGAAACTGGCACAACATTATAAAGCAATTATCTACCAGGTTTTTTTTAAAGCTATGGA